TTTCAGACGGTTGTTTACACGGCAGGACATGCTCCAAAGATGTGTGCCGGTTTGATTTAGGCTGTTTTGTGTTGTCTAAGTAAGAGATTATCCTGCAAACACATGCTGTATACTCACATTCCCATCTGAGTGTAGAAGAGAAATGAGGTTAAGAGGAGAGGGGCTGTCATTAAATGCCTCTTTCTACATTGGCTGGGGAGGGAGCGGGGGTCATGTGTGAGCCCCAGTTTAGTGTTACACCCAGGAGTAAAGGAGCGCAGAAGCAGAGTCGGATCAGGCCTTTTGTCTGACACAACCAGTGACCTGTGGAAATATCTGTCCTCTCAGGAGACTTAGAGGGAGGAGGAATGACGCTTGATGGGAATGTCACAAATGGCCAGCAGTGCAAGACTAAACAATGTGTGTCTTTGTATACCACATATACAAACTCACCTGAGAGCCGAGGTTGGTGGGACCAATATGTACCATTACAAAAAAAAGTCACCTATGCACTCGAAGCCCTGCAACAAGTATAATACATGTATACTGATGGTGTTTTACTGAGCTATTGTTTGGATGAAATTACACTTTACACGTCATCAGAAGGAAAAAAATAATAAATAAACACAAGCGCTGAGCCATGTTACTGTGCATTTTGAAATTAAATGCAACCTTGTTTGGTTTTCTAAAGCAATACTTTTAAACGTTTAATCATTAAACAACGCATTATTGTTTCTTATAATGAAAAGTTGAGTTCATAAGCAATAAAAGCACATCTTCACTTATTCAAAACAATCAATGCAGCTTTAATTTTTTCTCGAATGGCGATTTGATTATTTTAATGTTTAATGATTTTATTTGTTTTACTAGAATGGGTCTCTTCCACTTGTATTGTTACGATGTCGTTATATCGTCATCTTACAGTAATTCAAATCATAGTGTAAATAGTAAATCTACCTCACGTTTGCTAACATAATCTAACATTAGCCGCTGTAAGCTACAGTTCATACCAGACCAAGTAAGGCTGAAAAAACAAAACAGCCTATGTTGAAGCAAGTGAGGGTTTATTGCTTGAATCCAACCTTTGATTTGAAAGAGGAATAATGTGTTGGATCTGAAGTGGTAGTTAGTATCAGGATTTGCTGAGAGGTGAGTATTTACAGTGCTGCGGTCTGGTTTCTGACTGTGAATGAGTAATAGACCAGTAGGGATACAAAACCATATTTTATGTATTGGTGTTAAGCTGTGAAGGTTAGAAAGTAAGACTGAATGGAAATATATTAGGCTAGACCACAACTCAGATCTTTTGCTTGAAAATATTAAGTAATTGGAGGTGAACTTGGATTATATCATCCCTAAAGTCTGCCATGCTACTTTAACCAGGACTAAGCAGAGTGCCCAGTGCCTGTTTTAAGATGTTTCTCAATGGGTGATATTGTGGAAGTCACTTTGGGTTCTTCAAACACCAAATGTGTGACCTATCAGGCCATTTTTCTTTTTTGACAACAGGATGATTTTAAATATACTTCACCAATTGAATACACATCAAATATAGTTGATTAATATATTGCACAATTAATTAAATGAGTGTATAAGACACTGCAGGTTATATTGACGATTGCTTTTGTAAGAATTGTTTTAAGAGTAAAAACATTTTGTGACCAACTTTTTTTTTCTTTTTTTTCTTTTTGTTGCCCTCAAAGAGGGATTTATATACACAGAATACAAAATACATTTAAGATTAAAATATAAATAAATGTTTTCAAAACATTTGTTAACTGCGTTATACGATACGTGCACCTCTTCTACCATTTCTGAAATACTACTACTATATTCATGCCCTGTTTTCTCACACTGGTTTCATCATTTTCCCATGTTTAGTGGATAATGTTGAGGAAGTGTTTGTGTGAGGTTTGAGGCGACTGGCTTTTAGGTGTGTCTAACTTCTATGGGATGATGCTGAAGCTGGAGTGTTTGAACCGAGAGGTTTTGGGTGTAGAAAGTGGCTGGACATCCTGTCCTCATCCTCAGCTCCCTGGTTCCTGCCCAGCTCGCTGTGCCACAGACTTGTTTAGTTAGCCGTTGATTTATAGCCTTGGGGTTTTTAATATGCCTTTGCCCTATCCCTCTAAAACCCGACACCGCAAAATTACACGAGGAGCAAACTCCTTGAGAGTTTCTCACAGGATTTTGACCTAAAATAGCACAATGCCACGACACCTGTGTCAGCACCCTGCATTTATGAAATCATATGCACTTATATGTGTACATAAATAAACACATACAAGGAAGATGCATCAATCAGAAACTATTCCACATTAGATTGATAAAATATGAAATCTTGGTGCATTACCTGCAGAAATCTTGTATATAAATGTAATTTTTCGAGAAGACGGGATGCTTTGCAAACATGAATTCTGTTAAATAACTCTATATTTGCACTATCTTTACTGCAATTAACTGAATAAGAGCATACTCTATGTACCATGCAAATGAATTACAAACACACAGTTGGGTGTGTGTACACTGAACACTCACACACTCACTCGCTGCCTTGCTCCCTGGAGAAACACTTGGAACCATGTTTTTCAAAAGATTTCCAGCTTGCTTTTGCACAGGTGGTCTCATACATTATTCACTCATACTCTAGATCCACCACCATTTATCATGTCAAACACACTCTCTGTTACACACACACTCAAACCCACACGCTGCACAGCAAATACACTCCCACTCCCACTCTCCAAAACTCCCTGCTCATACACACCTGCCACCATGCTTACACAGTACAAACTGCTCCGGTATATTCAGTCACACTCACCCTTTCACACACACATTCTCTGCAGACTTGGTGGCCACTGGATTATTATGCTACCCCCTGGCGAGACTGACAGGTGTGTCAGTGTGTGTGTGTGTGTGTGTGTGTGTGTGTGTGTGTGTGTGTGTGACAGGCAGTCTGGCAACCCCCTTCTTGGTATTTATGAGTTCTGGACAGCTGAGGTGCTGGGCAAGATCTCTATTTAGCGCTTCCGGCTAATTATCATACACACATCCGAAGCAGGCGCTGAATATATGCAATTAGCCCCGGACCGCCCACATCATTTAACCAATCGCTAACTTTGCGTATCAAATCCCCGTGGTGGTTTGTGGGCTTAAATAGGTCCCTACTGCCCTTTTAACACTTGTGGTACTACATAACAGGCCTGGCAACCTGTCACACTGAAACCACAGAGCTTTCATCTGCAGGGAAAAGAAGCTTTCTCAGTTTAGGTTCGAACACTTGTCACATTAACAGCAGCAATGGGATATTTTGGTGGGACATACATGGCAACATCTTAAGTACAAAGCTAAAGAACATTGTGTCAGATTTGTGAACAATTTTTACATTTTGAAATTTGTATGGATTATTAAAAAATCATTAATCATTGATTAATCTGCAAAAATATGTTCTATATTTTGTCTTTTATAATCAGTGTCCACATTTGTTTTGAAATGACAAGCTAATATAGCATTTTCTGCTACTTTTGCATAAAAAAATCTCTGAATTGACCCAGACTAATATTAACAAATGTTTTGGCTTTTCCAAACATGTGGTAGCGACGACATCAGAGAACGTGTACAGTAATTTTCGGTCCTAATTACCTGTGTAACCATGTTAGAGAACCACAGTCCCGATTATTAGTACCTGCACTGATGTGGTTGGATGTAATGAGCAGGTGCTTGTTCCCAAGATCTCTCAGCTAGAATTACCCTTCACATGCACTCTTGCTGAAAGACACCATCTCAATATGAGCCTCATACAAAAGACTGCTTTGTTCTACTGTTACTTTTTTCTCTGTTTGTTTTGCTAACGTCCCGTAAGTATTTGTTTTTAAAGCTTTGAGGTAAAACCCACATTTTCTTCTTCTTCATGCTCTTTCCGTGGTGATCGCTACTTTCCAGGATGGGAAGGTGCGGCAGGTTTTTAGTGTCTGTCAGCAGCGTTTGAGGTGCACAACTTTGTTTAGAGAAGAGAGATTACAGCCAAACCCGCTGTTTGTGTCACAGGGTTTTGTCTAATCTGTACATCAGGGCACATCAGGACAATCACATGATCTGGAGAGTTGTTCTTCTTCGATCAACAACATATATTTTTAGAGCAAATTCATTTACATTTTTTCCTATTGTATGTAGTTATTGGTGACATGTATAATTTATCCAAATAGAGCTTTAGATGCTTATATTTCTGTAGATATGTGCCTGCGGAATGCAAATCAAGCATTGTTGTTTTTCAAAGTTAAAAAGAGTTTAACAACCCCTCAATTACATAAATAACACATAAACCACACAACTGATCTTTAAATCACTTTAGTGTCAACATACCTTTAATAAAATTAGCCTCCTGTTCACCACAGTGACTCATAATATGATACATAAACTGTGTTCAGCATGGCGTTTAATTGTTATCAGATTGTTTTGCTTTTTAATCCCTTATCATTTACATTGTATAATTTTGTATTAGCTTTAATTCATGAAAAGACTGACTACAGTTATTAAAATGTTTGACATTAAGAGTTTACATTCCACACATACAGTTCATCCAATAAAATATGATGGATGAAGCAGGGATAGCAGCACGTTTATCACTGTCCACTATGAGTGCTTCTAGCTTTCATTCTTGAGAAAGTATGACTCCTCTGCTTACCAACTGTCAGTAAAATGTAAATGCAAGACTGCATAACGATGTTTAACAATGTGTTTAAATATATTTCCTTCTTCTTCATGTATTTAGTAATGAGTAGTACTCGCTTTGTTTGAAATAATTATGACTCAAGCTTTTCAGATGGAGTTTTCTTTTTGCCCTTCAATTGTTTAGCTTGGTTTGGTCTGTTATTAACATCCTACATATTTTTTTTTTCCCCAACCACAATTGTTTTTGTCTATTTGGCTTTTCAGTCTGGTGGAGTGTAGTTTAGTTTGGTGGGGTTTGTTTTGGTTTCCTTGCTTCAGCCTAACCGTGTCCTTTTCTCTGTGTCAGGTCCAGGGTGTTTGGGGAGCAGTAGGTCTCGGAGCTCCAATGCCAGTGGACATGCAGCCACACCAGGGGCTGTATCACTACGAGACCTCACCCAGCCAGCCCTCCAGAGGGTAAGAGAGAGATGAACACGTGCTACGTCCTCAATCATTACTCCCTTGATGCATTTAACGTCTATTTGTCATACAGAATCCCACAACTGCTATAAGAGAAGTAAAAGCAATACCTCAACATTTTGGTAAATACACTTATTTGCTTTATTTCTGGGAAAAGATAAGATAAAATGTATTTTATTGATAAGAAGATTGTTACCACTCTCATGCCTTAATGTTAAGTACATAGAATGATAACGTGATTATTCTAAATAAGCATAAAAAAGAAAAAGAAAAAAGGGGGGAAGAAAACCTTGCAGTGTCCAAAATACTTGGTAAAAAAAGAACTTCTGGCAATATTTTGAGGCTGACATGTTGCATCTTGATTTTTGACAGACAAAACGTTTAAAAAAATGTGAACGTTGTTATCAAGGGGATGTTACCTGTTGAGCTAGATACAGAGATTGATGTTTAAGTTATTATCTAAAAACGATATATTGAAGAATATTATTGTTTTTCGTTTCTTACACATCATACACAAACTTCAGAGTTCCACTTAAATGTGACAAATATACAGATGAACTAGTGTACCACAGAGCTTTATAGAAGACAAACTATGTAATTGTCTGAGTTATTTAAAAAGTAGCTGCATTTTTGTATCAAAATTACCAACATATATTAGCTGACATACAACAGCACATTAATAAACAAGCTTACATGTTGTAGATATTTCTTGGCAAACAACAGCTCATCCTTCCGCCCATAATTTCTTTTTCTTGGATCGGCACAATGATATAACACCTGGCAAATCAACTGTTATTGGAGGACTTAAATAAAGTCCCAACATAAAGTATTAGTGCACCACTTATACATTTCAAATTGTTCTCTTCTGTTCCCTTTGAGGTTTGACACTGTGTGTCAATAAGTTGAAAGGTTACAGTTGGCACCTTTTCTGATGTGTGACAGATTCATCCTATTGCCTCCTGCTCCCAGGTTTTATGCTAAAATTATCAAAAAAAATTATTCCATATCTAGAAAACGGGAATAATGTTCATCTAAGAGGCTTGAAAATTGTACCTGGAGGGTGCAGAAGCCCAGGACTATCTGCAATTGTTGTGGCCGCAGTGCTAGTCCAGCCCCTCACTCCTCCCCCTCTACTCCCCCCCTCCCTCCCTCATGCCACCCAGGTTGCGGGTGGACTCGGCCTCTCTCTGACAGCTGCTAATTACAGGCTGACCAGGCCCCGCTGCGCTCTGCATGACTGCCTCGCGCCCTGCTCAGGTTACCCAGAGTGAGGGAGAAACAGAGAGAGATGGAGAGAAAGGTGGCTAGTAGGGACAGAGAAAGACAGAGGAGCAGGAGGAGGAGGGAGTGAGGAAGAGAAGATAGAAAGTGACAGAGAGAGAGAGAGAGAGAGAGAGGGGGGGGGAGAAACAGAGAAGTATAACAGACGGGATGAATGGGAGAAAGGGAGAAAGGAGGGAGAGGTAGAGTCGGGGGGAACCAGCACAGTGGATTAGAGAGGACAGATTAAGCTCCTGTGTGGAATACACGTTGTGGTGAAATAATTAAAGAACTGAAAGGAGGACTTAAGAGAAGGTGGATAGATGAAGTCTGCCCATCAGGAGAGGAGCGAGAGGGACAGCGAGAGGGAGGAAAAGAAGAGAGACAGATTTTAAACTACCAAGGCAGACTGAAGAAAGGTCAGAGAAAACATTCAAATGAATGAGAAGATTGGAAAGTTCCAATGAAGCTTTCCTAGGGGAAAACCCAGAAGAGTACATTTCCAGTGAAGACCAACGTAAGGCCTATACCCCATCTAGTGGAGAGAACCAGATATCAGAAGAGATCCAGGCTGTGAACTAGCTTTAAAAGTTACTAAGCTTAATATGGTGGTATTCATAGAAGGTTTCCAAAAGGCTGCTCTCACTTAACTTGACCCAAATGACCGATTAGGACAAATGCATTAACAAAACATCTTTTCAATATGCGTTTCCAATTTATATATAATAATTCACTCTTTTGTCACTTTAAAGACCTAAATCCATTCACTTAATGCATTTGTTACTCTATGCCTTCTGCCTCAATATGTGTGTTTCTGTTCACATATTATAAGTGCATATTCCATTTATTGAATTTATATATACGTTTTAATTTATTAAAAAGCTTGAGTGTAAACAATGAACATTTACAATGTATTTGTATTATTATTAGAAATATTTGGATGGAAACCTGACTGGTGACTTGCAACCATGTTGAATGCTTATCTTAAAATGCTTTTACAGAGTACGTTTCAAGTTGGAACTTGCTCTTTATCACATATAATGTAGAATATATAAAAAAATCATAACAGTTTTGACACTGTTACCACTTTATGTCTTCTATGTCCACAGCTTCCATCACACTTTTTGCATTTGCAATTTTTCACATTTACTTTGGATTTCTCATGATTGATAATAGTGTTTCTTTGATATCTGCAGCATAGTCTCATCAGACCAGTCTCCCTACAGTGATGTGACCTCGCTGCGTAGCCCGCTCCTCAACGGCCCCCCCCAGGACTGCCGCGCTATGTATAACCCCATGACTCCCAGTATGACTCATGGATCTGGCCCAGGCCAGGGGATTGGCCACTGCATGGATCAATATATGAGGCCCCCTCAGGCCCCACCGCCACACAGTATGATGGGCCACAGGGGCATGCCGCCCCCAGAGGGTGAGTCAGAGTATCTTTTACATCTCTTAAATCTCAGCTGCTACTGATTTCAACGTGAAGACACCTGAGAGACGGAGAAGGAAACAGAGACTACCCAGATTTCAACAATAGGAAAGATCTGCAGACAATAGAAGACTTGTATATGCTAAGATATATGCCATGTCTGTTACGTGGTCAAACACCAGCTTGGACTGATCTAAATTACCTAGTTAACCTAAAGTGAATTAGGGGTAAACAAAGAACCTGTACATATAACAAATATATACAGTGAATAGTGTTCCTCTCAAAAACTAAGAGGAAAATCACTATAAAACCTGACAGGACAGTCAATTGTCTCGCTTCTTCCTTTCATTAGAGAAAAGCTACGTTTACAAGTGATCCTTGCAACTCTACCTATAATAATACTTCAAATGACTGAACCAAAATGCAAGTGGATGTCCTTACTTGCTCATGCAGCTTTTAGAAGAACACAACTGCTAGTTAACATGATATGTAATTGAGATTTTAAACAAGCAAACTTGCTACATGATGAGTAAGAGGAAACCTGTGAACCATTTGTGTACCTTACTAACACAAGATCTGTTGATTTACATCTTAGCAGTAGTATGTTTAAGTGTTTCAGTCTGTCTTTAATATCCAACAGGTGGCAACAGTACCCCCTACTGTAACCAGAACAACATGATGTCCTCTCATCACAACTTCTGCCATCCTGGCTCAGATCAGATGGGCTCAGTTGATGGTAAGAAAAGACTCCCCACAGTTTCCTATTAAATTCATTTTGTGATGTTTGCATCCTCCGAGCTGACCTTCCTTCTCTTCCTGTTGTCTGTTCCCCTTCAGGCTCAAGGTTCTCCACACCTCGATCCATACTGAAGCTGAGTAAAAAGAGAGCTCTGTCTATCTCTCCTCTGTCTGATGCCAGTGTGGACCTGCAGACAGTGATCCGCACATCACCCAACTCTCTGGTGGCCTTTGTCAACTCTCGCTGCAACCCTAATGGGGCCAGTTCTTATGGGCACCTCTCTGTGAGCGCCATGAGGTCAGACATCTTACCTTCAGATATTTAGGCACACACGTACATAGTAAATAGCAATTACCTCAGACTAGTAAACTCTAATATTCAAGAAATTATAAAAGTATCATAAATGCATTTTACTTTGAGGCGTGAAGTTTGTGGTGTTCCCTCTCCCTTAATTTGGCCACATTAGTGCACCAATATTTACCAAAATATATGAATATGAAGTCTGAACGCTCAAGCGAGCACAGTTGGTCAAAAAAAAGAGATCAAATAAAGGTGCACTGTAATAAAGATGTGGTGAAATGTACCTGTTTGTGTGATTCATAGCTTCATGTCAGCTGACCAGTTTCTCAGCAAATATGGGGATTTAGTTATTAACGAAAAGGTAGATATGTACAAAGGCAAATTAGGGAAATAAGATCAACAAAGAAATGCGGAAAAAAGTGACGTTTTCAAGTATTAAAAGGAAAAAAAGAGTATTGAATGTTTTTTCGCCCAGTCCACTCTACATTTCAGCAAATTGGCCAACAGTTGTATTGGATTTTAAGTGATATTAACTATTTCACCAGTTTCATCAGATTGAATTCTTAACACTGTCATATTGTTATCTTACAGCCCGTCCCTTGGCTATTCCAGCAATATAAACTGCCAATCCAGGCAACACTTTTCAATGTATGGAGGAGGCGGGGGGACGTCTCTGGGTGGACACACACAAGGTCCCTGCCAAGCTTCCCGCTTACCTCCCCACAATCCTCGGCTCCACGTTCCACCCAAGCATGGACACGTAAGACAGCCTTCTCACTCACAAAAATCTCGCAACAATTCAGTAGCAGAACACACTTTGCTTGATATTTCTTGGAAGTGGATGCATGGGAGGTGGGAATAGGAAGCAAAGGGAGGTCTTCAGTAGGGAGAATTTACATCTGTGCTAATTGTATGTTAATGACTTTCATAGACACGAACAAAGGTAACGTGATGTGTGTTTTGTTTTGTAGCTGAAGACAGAGCCAGGGCTGGGACTTGGCATGGATGGCATGAATTTGAAGAGCATGGAGGAAAGGTCAGAGGGTGATGTGGCCAGTCCTTCTTCCACTGGCACTCAGGTAAAGAATCGTTTTTTTTCTCACAAGTAGTTTTCACCATCACACCACAATTGTAGTTTTGGCATTAAGATTTGTCATATGCAGGAATATAAACTCATATATCCGTGGCACATTTCATGGAAATTGAGTTAAATGTTGGCGGATCACAAACAAATTGCAGTTTGTGAACATGTTCGACTGACTATTACAGACACAGCATGCAAAGAAAGAAGAATACTTCTAGCGTTTATAACTAGTTTTATGTTGTTGGCAAAGGACCTCCATCATGTCAGCAGAACATGACTGATCTCGTATACATGCGTTTCTCAGAGCGGTACAAAAAAGTGCTGCTTTGCATAGATGCAGACAGATAAAATAAACACTTTGTCACAATGGTGTAAAGCAGGGGTCGGCAACCCCTGGCACGCGTGCCAGCATTGGCACGCGGCACCGTAACCAGTGGCACACTAGGAATAAGTGGAATAAGTGTGCAAAATATTTAAATTGTATTTTCGGATCCTGAACGAGACCGCCGCCAGAGCGCGTCTCCCCGTTACCTGCAGAAGGAAGCCATGCACGCAACGCAGCCCCGCTCTCTTTATCTCCAGGTGACTTTCTGCCGCTTTCCTCCGTGGTGCAGTGCTGATCGTTTCACCACGGAGGAAAGCACTTCACTAATTGCAGTACCCATAAGGAGCTGTACAAATGCCACAGTTTTTGCGTGACTGTGTATTTAGTTGAAAGCCCAGTGGCGATCTGCTCATCTCTCATCGAAATAATATGCTACAAAGGGGCGGACTGGCCATCTGTGTGTTGAACTTTCCTGTCGGCTCCCAGACCGTAGTCGAGGAGGGCAGAAGCAACAAGCTTCAGGTTCAATAACCCACTTTAGCTTAAATGACTGGAGAGAGGCGAGCTCTTCTTGGGAGGCCGTTGCATTTATTTAGCTGTTCTTCTGTTTCACAAAATACATCACAGACCTCTGTTTTTCTGCTTCCTCGTTTCACTTCCAGAAACATACACACGTTCCCTCACTGTCGCTCTACCATCCACAAACACACATGCACAAGCCACATGACACCCTCTCTCTCTCTCTTAAAGGGACAGCGATCTCATCTCACTCTGCATGACCCTAATATCATAACATGTGTGCTCTGGAGAATCACAGAACGGACGATCGTCCTTATTATTATGCCGTTTAAACCAATTATTTAAATGTGTTAAATTCGGCATCATGTAAGTTCGCTGACAGGTCCACACACTGCTTCCCCTCAGCGAGGCTCCCCCGCCCTCCTGCTGATAGTTCACGAGCGTCAAGCTCCTCAACCGCCCCCCCCCAGGTTGATAATTCTCGATCGTTGGCACGCTGATCAATTTTTTTTTTTTAAATGGCACTTCATATCAAAAAGGTTGCCGACCCCTGGTGTAAAGTAACCAAGTAGATTTACTCAAGATCTGTAGGCCTACTCAAGGACAATTTAGAGGGACTTTACTTGGGAGGTTCAATTATTTCCTAATTTGTTCTTCTACCCCATTACCACAGATCTAAATCATGTTTTTTTACTCCAATTCCTTCATTGAGTACCTTTAGTTACTTTGCAGCTTTTGTTTAATGATTTAAAGTAACTACATAATTAATATAATCAGCACTTTAATAAGACTTTAGTAACACCTGGAATAAATTCACAAGCTACCCTGCAGCATACATAGTCATTAAAAATAGCTGCAAATGTACCAGCTTTGATAAACACATTAATGCATCAATAATTATAATCAAAACATATCATTGATAATATTCGGAAGTGGGCCAATCTGCATAATTAGTACTAGTACTTTTAATTGTGGTACTTAAGTGTATTTTGATGCTAATACTTTTGTACTTTTACTTGAGTAAAATGTTGTTTGCAGGAATTTTACTTGTAAGGGTATTTCTACACTCTGGTACTGTATACTTTTATTTAACTAGAAGATCTGAGTACTTCTTCCCCCTCTGCATTGTCATAATGAAGTATGTCACGTTTTCTACACAGTTAAACACAGGAAATAATCCGACAGAGCTTGTTGTTATCCTGCAGCTCGATCCCCTGTTGACCACGCTGTCCTGCTGCTCTCACATTGAGACTCCTATCAGAAAGATGCTTGAGATGAGATTGAGTCTGTTTTTTAGTAGGTCCTCTCCGGTCCGAATAACAAACGGGAGGCAAAAAAAGCGTCTTCTGTGACAAGCTAGCAGTTAGCCATTTTATATTTCTGGTGAACCAACGGTTTAGTTTATAACAATATCGCGCGGTTGGTGGCCTCCAAATGTCTCACGTTTTTTATTCAAACTGAAAACTTGTAACTCTGTGCTGTTCAAGATAGTCCATATCGTTCATTGTGTCCGCAGTTTACTATTTTGTTTCCACTTCTGCTAAACTAAGAGCAAATGACGACAACAGTAAATAGCCAATCAGATTGCAGTGCTGCAACAGGTAATCAGCCGCACCTGGCATTACCTTTGTGCCATCCGTTTTCATTGACCAAGGCAATGAAACAATTTCCAAACTATACTCTTACTATAAACGTATATCCAACAAATTAAATGATGTAGAAAAAAGATAAATAAAAGCAGCCACTAATGTTATTTTTTAATATGTTAATACTTTTGCCAGTTACAGTAGCTACCATACAACCAAACACAGATATTTTCAATGCAATTAGTACTGCTGTTTTTTTCAGTTCAAGGCTCATACATTTATCTAAATACAGATAATGTCTTCTCTAGAGGAAGAATCCCATAAATGTTCCTTTTTTCAAGTCTTGCATTATTTAACGATAATATTGATTTCCAGATTAGTCAGCTCCAATAAAACAACCCTTTTCTCTGTTGCCAGCAGGTGGGGCTATTCTCTACTTGCCCAAATAACCCATCACCTATTTTTAAACACCATTTCCTTCAACTTGAATCATGATCTTCTGGTCTGTATTTATGTTTCATCAGGACCCCCTCATGGGCCTACTGGATGGCAGAGATGACATGGACAAGGACGACGGGAAGCCTGAACCAGAGGCCATCTACGAAACCAACTGCCACTGGGAGAGCTGCATCAAAGAGTTTGACACACAAGAGCAGCTTGTTCATGTAAGAGATGTCAATGTCAAAAGACACTGTACAGAAAGCAGAAAAACAGCTTTTAAGCAAAAAGGGATCTACAGTATACCACTTAGATTGTTAATGGATCCCTCTATATATCTGTTTACTTTACAGCACATCAACAATGAGCACATCCATGGGGAAAAGAAGGAGTTTGTGTGTCACTGGCAGGAGTGCTCTCGAGAACAGAGGCCGTTCAAAGCCCAGTACATGCTGGTGGTTCATATGCGCAGACACACAGGAGAGAAGCCACATAAGTGCACTGTGAGTGTATCCTAAATCACTGTCCATGTACTTTTTTTCTCTGTTTTAATCAGTTTCTTCTTGGCTATTTGTTTCTCTTTCGCAGTTTGGCTGTTTTTATAAAACTATTTTTGTTTTGTTTTAGTTTGAAGGCTGTAATAAGGCCTACTCTCGCCTGGAGAATTTGAAGACCCATTTGCGCTCTCACACAGGAGAGAAACCATACGTGTGTGAACACGAAGGCTGTAACAAAGCCTTCTCCAACGCTTCAGATCGGGCCAAGCACCAGAACCGAACTCACTCCAATGAGGTACTGTAGTGTGCACCACTGAAAAGTAATTAAATTAATTGAAATCTGGTCGTACATTATTGAAAATTATATTATATTAGAATCAGAATCAGTATCAGAAATCCTTTAGTTGTCGCACCGCAGGGAAATGTAAAATGTAGCAGCGAAGGGACAGTGTATACAAAGGCAAAAATAAAGTGAGTAGACTAAGATGTTAAATTGGCCATACTTTATATGTCCACATCTATTGATGATTGTATTTGATACTATCACATAGGAGACTTGCAAGGAGTTTTTCACTTCTGAAAATATCTTTGGATGTTCATAATGCAAGCTATAGCAAATCAGTAAAAAACCTGACCTTAGTTATTAATAATAAACTGCTAATTGTGACAAAAAATGTCATTAGCAGTCAAGTTGTAGTAAAGTCTATTTTGGGATGCAAGACTGTATTCACAAAGAAGGTTTTATGTATTGACAGTGTCTTTGCTCTTTTACAGAAACCTTATGTATGTAAGATCCCCGGCTGCACTAAGCGGTACACAGATCCAAGCTCTTTGCGTAAACATGTAAAGACGGTGCACGGCCCTGAAGCCCACATCACCAAGAAGCACCGTGGAGACACAGGACCTCGACCCCCCGGTTCAGCTATGACCCCTGGATGCCCGAGCTCTGAACTGCTGCTGGAGAAAGAGGAGACACGCAGGGAGGACTGCAAACTGCTTATTCCTGAGACGGCTCTGGTAAGTAATACAGTTTGCCTATGTCCTGCAAGATCCTTTAAATACAAGAAAATAAACAAAAGCTTGCTGTTAGATGCCACACATCCATAGTTGTTCCCCCATTTAGTATCACAAATGATTAGCATTCCTGCAAAAGTGTTGACATTAAAACACATCACATAAAATATTTCAGAAATCCCAGCCCAGCCCTGGTGGTCAATCATCCTGCAGTAGCGAACGTTCTCCACTGGGGAGCGCCAACAACAATGACAGTGGGGTGGAGATGAACCTAAATGCAGCTGGCAGTCTGGAGGATCTCACAGCACTGGAGGATGGAGTTGCAGGAGGAGGAGGGGAGCCAGGAAGTGTTGGAACAATGGGAATGTCAGCACAGGCTTTGAAGAGGCTGGAGAATCTGAAGATTGACAAGCTGAAGCAAATCCGCAGGCCGCCCCCTCCTGGCCGCTGTGCCAGTCACAAACTACCTGCACTTCCGGGTATGTGATGATACAACAAATGTAATCCAAAACTCTGATGTGTGCCTATTCTTTGGTTTGTATGTGTGAAGCCTGAGTTGTTGCATAAAACACACTATTTACACTGGGCTGAAATATAAATTGTTACAACATTGTTTTATCTAAATTGACATTAATAGTTTTTATTTAAACGTTTCTAAGCTTTCTCCTTCTGGATATTTATTTTCAGGTCCAGGGGAGAATGTGGGCATGTGTGCACCTTCTCCACTCCTCTCAAATCGAAGGGTTATGGAACTGTCCAATCACGATTTAGGAGGTGGGACATCGATTGGCTGCCCTTCAAATGACAGAAGAGGAAGCGGCACCAGCAGCTTAAGCTCTGCATATACTGTTAGCCGTCGGTCCTCCATGGTCTCTCCTTACCTTTCCAGCCGGCGCTCAAGTGATGTCTCACAAATGGGAGGAACTGGAGGCGGAGGATGTCACCACCTTGGCCCAGAGCAGAGTGTGGGAGACCCCCTCTCTCCTGAGACCAATCGCAGAGGAGCTCCATGTCCTGGAGGAGGAGGATTGCCAGGTCTTCCTATTTTAACACCTGCCCAGCAATACAGCCTAAAGGCCAAATATGCTGCAGCAACTGGTGGACCACCACCTACTCCTTTACCCAATATGGAGCACCCAATTACTCCAGGCAGAAGAGGAGGTGTTTTGAGTGAGTACCAGAGTCAGCCTCTGCCTCCATTCCTCCAACATGGTGGTCCACGTAGGCACAGTGCCAACACAGAGTATGGCACTGGTGTCATCTACCCACACCAGGCTCCAGGCAACCACAGCAGGCGAGCCAGTGACCCCGTCCGATCAGTAGCAGATCCTCAAGCTGCCCCCAAGCGCTTCAACAGCCTGAATAATATAGCCATGATGGGCCGAAGAAATGCGCTTCTACATCGTGGCTCAGACACCAGTCTTTCTCGCCATCTTTACTCCCCTCGGCCACCTAGCATCACAGAGAATGTAATGATGGAGGCTATGGGTATGGAGCCCCAGATTGGCTCTGTTGAAGCCAGGGATCGCTCCATGATGATGCCCCCTGGAGAGAGAAGCTTCATGGGATATCAGCAACAGCATCAAACTATGGGAGGAGCTGGGGCTTCTCTCGGAAATCAGCTGTCTCCAAGACATGACTCTCCGAGTTGCCCAGACCAGGGTTACATGCAGGGCCACTACCAGAACCAGGGGGGGGAAGTCCCTTCCAGGGCTGGTGGAAATCCAATAGGCCAAGCAAGGCCTGTTCACTCGGAGGGCATATCCAATTCCCTTCTCCAACAGACCGAGTACAGCATGAGCACATGCCAGCTTAGCCCCTCAGGCCCCAATTACCCAGGCTGTGGCCAGGGTGGTGATGCTGGAGGTCCTTGGACTGATTCCCACAACCAAATCCAAACTCCCAACCAGGCTATCCAGAACCAGCGAGGAATGCAGTTTGTAGATCCTAGCCTGCAGCCTCAACACACACAAGCCCACTTCAACAATCAGACAGGCCTCTACAACAGTCCAGATGGAACCCACAAGCTTACCATCAAGCCTGAGCAGCAGTTCCACCCTGGGATGGGAGGTGGAAATGCCTGTCAAAGTGCTAAGCTCCAACAGCAGCGGATGCTCCTCCAGCAGACTCAAGGTTACCCACAACCTGGCCAGGTCCTGCTGAGGAACTCAAACAATCCCAGCTGTGACTTTCAAGGGCCGAACCAGAACTCCTACCCCAGTGGAGGGGGCTTGAGCTTAGGCTGTGCTGGTACTGCGCTGACAGATGGGCAGAGGTCAGAAACCCCCATGCTGCAGGTGAAGGAGATGATGGTGAGAAACTATGTACAGTCCCAACAAGCACTCATGTGGGAGCAGCAACAAGAACAGCAACAACAGCAGCAGCAGAGTGGAATAAAACCTCCTCCTCTATCTGATAATATGGATATGAGTGGCCAGACAGCAATGATGCAGCTAAGTCCACAGCATCAAAATCAGAATCTCTACTCCAACCAGCCATATCCGTCCTACCCTAACCAGAACCTGGTCATGAGCCCCCCGGCCCACGGCCGAGGGACCAGCTCTGTGCCACCTAAAGAGCAGCAGCTGACAGGTCTCCAAGGCTCATGTTATGGTCAGGAGATGGTGGTCCCCAGGCCTCCTCAGGGACGGAAACCTCTCAGCCGCCAGAACAGCCTGTCACAGGTAGCAGGGAGCTACCTTGGAAGCCCACCCCAACTCAGCCCTGTCCACTCCACTTCCAGCCCCAGGCGAGCAGTCCGACTCCCTCCAGTCCAGCATCCACAGCACACGCAAAATGAAATGTTCTCTCCTTCCAATAACAATAACATGTACTATTCAGATCAGATAAACATGGACAAACACATGGACCCCCAGAATGGACCTTGTGTCAACCAGCAGCACATTATGGGTTCCAACCTGGACCCAACAGGGGGCACAAAACCTCTCCCCATGACTCCCTATCCTGAATCTGGCCCCATCTCCAATGCGTTAGAAAACTTGGACCTCGATAACGCTCGCATAGACTTCACCTCAATCATTGATGATGCTGATTCTTCCTCATTCAGCCCAATCAACCCTCCCCTTCAGGGTCAGCCAGGGTCTTCCACCCAGGCCTCATCCCGCCTCAACACCCCCCAGACTTCTGTTACCCTAGCTCCAGGCTCAGGTCTGTCCAACATGGCTGTAGGCGACATGACATCAATGCTCACCTCGCTGGCTGGGGAGAACAAATACCTGAACACACTGTCTTAAAAGGAACGTTTATGGCATCTTTTTGAAGATTAACAATCAGGTCGAGGCCTTGGCAAGTTCTTAATGTTTTAATTGAGATCCCACATGAAAGCCCAGTATTCAGGAGTAACCAACAGGGGGTTACTTTGTAAGAACTTTCAGTTGGGGAATAGGATAAGTGGGCCCCTTTTTAAATGGATCATTTGATGTGATGGATCATTAGTCTGGGCTGTTTTAAACATTCACATAAGTGTTTATAAATAAACCCAACATATAAACCTGCATTCAATCCAGGATCCTGAACTTGAGAGGGGTCTGTAGCTAATGGAATATCCATGTAATACAATTTGGTCGCAAGTTGAGACAAAGCTGCGAATGTGATCCTATCACAGGTTTCAGAATTGTAAAAATCCTCACTTTCAGCCTTAAAACCAAAGGTGCCTGATCAACCTCCCTCACTGTATTGTTCCTTCACTGCCTTGGTACTTGGTATTTTCTGTGCCTTACTGTAAGACACAGAGCCTTACGCCTGATATGAAACTGATACTGAACGTTTTCCAAACAGGCATTCCAGTCACATGGGGCTGTGGCAACAGTGGAGTAGAGAAGGATGCATGTAAATACGTTTTATATACATATATTATAATGTTGTGTACATGACAAAGAGACAATGGATTAATCATCCTCTGTCTTGTGATAGACTGCTTGAATTCTGAAGGCCAATGTTCAGAAAAGAGTTTATAAGATGGGTGTTTCGAAAAGCTAAGTGAAGACTAAAGTTGTGCTTTTAGTGATTGAGAAGTTGTTTCTCGGTGCTACTAAATATTAATCTGTATTAATAGGGATTTCTTCCTTGTCATCAACAACACGCTCTATAGTGGCATATCAGTATTCCAACACATGCCCAGATGCAGTCAGAGACAGACTCTCAGGACTTGTTGGTGTTTGCATCTTTAGTTTTCAGATTACTTGTATGTTGTAATTGCCTTTCCAGACAGAGAGTTTGCACTCCACATGTTTACTGTAAGTGTTCGTAAAGCAGCTGTGTACTTATTTTCTTTCAAATGGTGTTTATAGCTGCAGAACAGAAAAGTCCCTGGTTCTATGAGGTACATACATAGTAGGTGATACGTTCATATGTTGTGTGTGCTAAAAAAAACTCTAAATTACAGTATGTCTGATTAAACAATAACCCGATCTACTACTGGTGTATGACTCAGCTGAGGATGACGGCTATTTTGAATGACACCTGAGTCAGCGGATCTTTAATAGTTGCCCATGTTTGAGCAACGTAGGTACACTAATAGTACAGAGCTACTGCACTCTGGCTCTGATCCCAAAGAGGAGTTATTTGGAAAATTCCTCATACTAATTCAGGATAGAGGATCAAGAAGCAGGAATGTTATCAATTGCTACCACTGTAGTAAAATACATATTTTCACGGGTACATTGAGGTACTTTTTCGCAACTATTGAGCTTATTCATACGGAAGAAGGCTGCAGCTTTTGGTAGGGGAACTCATTTTACACTGTGGCTTTGCACTGACTACAGCACTGCGTGGAGAGGTTTCTGTCTCTTGTGACTATTCAAATTAACCTAATTTTGATAGCGATAAACAATTATTACAGTATTTTTAATAGTAATTCAAGAACATATCTGAGCAAATCTCGACTCAATAAGTCCACAAATAAGTATTGCTGAAGCTTTTTATGTGACTTTCCAGAATAAAAAAAGTAGCGTGACTTCAAAGTGTATCAAGCATTACAGGAATGTATATTTCTTCATTTTGGAAAAAAGTTTAAAACTACCAAAGACACCTTAAAATGACTGATAAAAGATGCACAAATAGTCTATTTTAACACAACACTAACACTAGCAATAAGGGCATGAACATTGACTGATAGTGCTGTTCTTTAGAATGTATGAGATGTTTTGTATAAAATTATCTTTTTATATTAATGAACTTTATTGATGTTGCCTTCTTTGTGTGTGTATTTTTTTTATATCTGTCATCCTTCATTCTTACTTTTTTGCTGGCAAAAGAATATCACATTTAGCAACTGAAAGCTATAATAGCCTAGTAGCATTAACTACAATAGACAAAAAGCCAAGTGTTATATTTTGTGTACAATTTTCTACATTTTTATACAAATGTGTTATATTTTACCAGTATATGAATAAAGATGTTCAGTGGGATGGATGCAGAAGGATTGTCAATCTTTTCTTTTCATGTCCTTTGTTGTAATGTCGAATTGTGTTTTGTCAACATACAATGCTACTCAAATGCTGTATTGAGCCATATGTGCTCATTCTATAGATTAAGGAGGTTTAAAGTTAAGGTAGGAAGCCTATGCCTGCTCTGCTGTCTGACATGTGTTGCTGTTCCTGATGGATGAATGCAATGACTTTGTCACGCCAATAGAGTGCAGTGCAGCCTGAGAACAAGAACAAATAGCTAACCATGTTTCTCTTTCATTCACTCTGAATGAAGCCCCCGGAATTCTGCACACTCTAAACATGGGTGTATAATAAGAGACTCTAAATCGTCTACAGCCGTTTTTGGCAGTCAAACTATATTTGGTGTAATTGTGATTAATGTGACCCAACAACATTTTACCCCAAAATGATTGCAAGTGTAATTAACTGACCAAGCAAAGGACATCTATCCCAAATCATCTAACCTTTTCTCCTCGTACTAATTGGAAAATCCCCTTGTCATGGATACAATTTATATCTAGCTGCAAGTCAGCCTATTGTGAGCTATGGCGATGTGCTTGTCTGCTACAGTTAGTAAGTGGATGAGTATTAAAAATGGCTGCTGTTGGTGACATCAGTGCCTGGACAGGTTCCCTGAGGTCAGTGGGGATTGGCACTCAGGGCCACAGTTTTCTTTAAGAAAGAAAAACTACAACAAATGTTGCTCGTAAAATATTATCAACATGACATATCTGCTTTTAAAGATATCAAATCAGAGATTTTAGAAAATGGGAGAAAAAATCCCATAACCAGGACACTGTTTTATATGATACTTTTCACCAGGGGTTTCCCACTCTATTTGGCTTGTTACTCCTAAAAATGAAGTCATGTCTATTTGTGACCTCACATTACAGGATATGGTGGTGGAAGTGAATTAGGAGCATTGTAACCAATGAGTGATTTTTCCATCAGATTGAAGCATTATTATATAAAAAGAAATATATTTCTTGATATCCTTATGTCTCTCATACCTTGAATCTGTTACCCCTCGGATATACCGTATAGCCCACTGAAGTATCCCTCCGCCGGCAGATGACTACTCCTGTACACATAGTCTACTTAAACTATATGACAACAAAGTCAAATTAATTTCTTATTCATAAATTATTATGATTAAAATTGGGAAAATACATTAAGTCTACTGAAAATATTAATTGTACATGTCTTGTCGAGTAGTTGTTGGTTTACTGTAAATGTTACGCAGGAAAAAGAAAAAGGTTTTAAACTGTATTAATCGTCGGTAACCATAGCAAGAGTAGCTACCTAGACCTATTAACTCACTGTTAAGGAATGAAGCTATGGATTAAACCGCCTAAAAAACTATTACGAATTGATGACGCTTACGGTATGTAGCATTATTAAAGATTTCGATATAAAACATGCATTAGAATGTCCTAATTTCCTTTAGAAAGGGGCTCCATCACCTTGTCTGTCATTTTGTATTACACTTCTTTGTGTGCTTATGCTGTCATTTAATCTGCTGTCTGCTGAACTTTTACATTAACTTTTTAATGTGATATTTTTTTAAATGCTATCACCGCCATTACTTTTTACAGCACTGGCTCTTTTTGGTTCAGGGGCCCCAGAGTGCTGGGACTATATTGGCATTGTGGTGTTGTGGCATGGCACAGTAGACTCACGGCAGCCACTTACAGCCTGGCACTGAGGCTAAAGTTGACTCATTCGCTCCAAGGCAAGGGGGACTTCTCCTGACGGACTACTGATCTGAAATCTGGCATATCCATATGGTTATTTGAACAAAAACAATAGTTAAATCTCCACAATGTGGTCAAATACTGCATGTGTTCACAAGAAGGGCTGCTGAAAGAAGATTAAAGGGAAAATAATACATTTGTATAATTTAGACTGAAATCTGGCTTTGTAATTCTAGATGAGTGGCTACATCATACAAATGTACAACACATCAAACGTGTGTTTACTCATTTGAAACTACACTAAAACAGTCACTGTCGCAAAGAGGTGCACAAACTAAACTAAATCCCATGAAATGCTTAGAAGAAACAATTAAGAAAATATTGAATAGGCTTACTGTAAGTGTTTAATGTTTAACTTAACTCACCGTTTTACATAATTAAAAACAATTTAGTTGACAGATTCTTCTCCTGGAAACATTGTATTGTCTCTTGCCTCAGGCCAACGTTTTTGTTATGCAAACTGACCATCGCTTCCTTTCACAAATTAGAGAGAGTGAGTGTGTGTGTGCCTGGGGGGATGTTTTTAACTATATTCCTGAACATGTTTGAGTTCCACGATAGTGTAAAAAGTCAGCACTGATGCAAAGACATTGTTTTCGACACTCTACAATGTGATTTATTTTCTGCAGTTAGAAATGAAAATGCCAAAATAAGAGTTTTTCAAATGCAAGAAGTGGGCAGCATAATGACTTTTCTCTTTTCTTGTCTTGCCATTCAGAGGGAGGCTTTTCTTTCCCTTTGTCACTTAGGTTGGCATATAATTAACTCCTGCTTAATATGCTGTTTAAGGGCTCTCCTCCCCATGCAAGAAGCTTTGAACCCATACACCACAGTCAGGGACAAAACCCCAGTGGGACTGCTTCCTCCATGCTCCTCCTTGTGTGTGTGTGTGTGTGTGTGTGTGTGTGTGTGTGTGTGTGTGTGTGTGTGTGTGTGTGTGTGTGTGTGTGTGTGTGTGTTTTAACAAGACAGTAGCTAAAATTACCGCTGCGGCATTGCTGTATTCTTATTTTACACTGTACAACTATTAAACCCGGATTAAATTAGACTGTGCAAAAATCTCACTATAGCCGAAATAAAATAATATCCCCAACCTCAATAACCCCCTTAAAAAGGTGCTTATTAAATGCATCTTAGAAAGGCTAATTTGAAGACAGTAGGTGAATGTTTTATATGTAACCTATCTTTCCCATATAAAAGTGCAATATGCTAATTTTAAAGTTAATAAAACAACGGTATACACCCTACAATACCCACAGCTCCAAATTCAGGTAAAAGTAACAAGCTACAATAAACTTAAACAAAACTTCTTAGTAAGAAACGAACAATTTGTTTAAACTCAATTGAATGAAAGCAATTAACCTGAAACCCTGACTGACAACTGTGTGGAGGAATGACCATAACATATGATCAAAAAAATCAGCTCCCAGGACCTCTGAAGCACCTCTGCACCTCTGTGACCCTCATCTGTGGCAGAGTTTATTGCCCCCTCCTCATACACCTCCTCTCCTCTATCCATCCCACCACAAAGAGCCGAGATGACCCTTCTGTCCCTCTCTTTCTTCGGCCCTGTGCTCCCTCCCCACCTTCAGGATGCTTTCTCTTCCAGAATACATTAAGAGACAAACCCCCAGCAGCCATGATGGGTAAAAGAATGAAGGGGGTTTGCATTTTGTTTTTTCACTATTCTGAAAATGTAGGGAAAAAGTTCTTACTTAAAATGTAACCTTGAGCTCATGCAGTTGTGAAAACTGTAGGCCTATTTAACAATTTAAATGGAGTTTCAGTTAGCTTCACATAAAGAGTCAAAAGTTATCTTCTAAATTAGTTCATAAGACCTATATGAGAAAATAAAATAAAAAATGCGATACGTTTATGTTAAGTCTTAAGAAGTTATGAAAAGGCTCACCATAGTTTGTGATGGGTTTATTGTGTATGAGTTCGACATGTTTCATGATGTTTCAAATTACACTTCTATAATACATTAATTGTTATGATATTTGTATATGATCTGGTTGGTAACACCTAATATCCCTGCAAGGTAATAATTTCGCCTATTTGTCGTGGGGGATCTAGGTTTTTAATTGAATCGTCAAGTCTCTTAAAACATCCGAGCAGGTAATCTGTCCTTTACTTCTCTAATCTGCGTCACAGTGTCAGATCGCAGTTTGTTTACTCCGCTCAAACTCCCTCATTATGCGCTGTGAAAAGCTACCCGGCTCGCTTGTATTATCTCGCAGAGTTACTGAGATGTGGGGGGCACTAAAAAGCCAAGGTGGGGGTCCTGAACGCTGCGTTAGAGTTTTATTTCGGATGTTTTTTCAGTTGCAAAACAGATTACGGTCCAGGTTGCAACACAAAGGACGGTCAATGCAGCACTTCCTACAGCCATCCAGGGGTGAATGGGGCGCGGGACGGGGTCCTCTCCAGGGTACTCGAGCGCAGGTGCGACGTGCATAACAGTCAAGCCATAAAACACGAAGCAGGGGGGGGAGAGGGGGATGCGCACACAACCACCTGTTGTCATTAACCTGTAGTTAGTATAATCTCTCCGAGGAGAAAATGTAGCAAAAAGGGGTTAAAAGGCTCATTTGCACCTCTCCAAACAGCCTAAAGATTTAAGGTAAGACGCTGTGCCCACTATAAGACTCTGTGTGAGGAGTTTTTGAGAAGATTCCACTTTACAGAAGTAACGAGGAGTAAAACACGTGGTGAAAAATGTCAACTCAAGCAACAAGTAAATGATAGGTTACTGATCGATTAAGACATCTGCTTGTTTTTGTTATCAAAGTATTTTTAACAGATTCAACTGTACACCAATTACCCATACCCAAATTCTAGCAAAGTATAACGTGTTATTTAGGCGATGCATGAATGAAAAGGCTACAAGTTGTGTATTCCCCCGTTTAGAAAAACCAGAACATGCGGATATATCGCTCCTGGGATTCCCTCTCCTAAAGACATGGTACGAAATCGGGACAATGTTTTGTCAAATTACAACGACATTTATTACTGGCGTCTATGAGGAGGTCTTAACATAGGATTGTCTCTTTTGTAAATGAGGAAGGTGCACGTTTACGATGCCAAGGCTGACCTCAGGGCCGCCTCTGCTGCTGACATCACTCTTCCTCGCGGCTCGTCGCCTCGCTTGGAGTCCCATCAAGGTCTGAGTCTCCCGCTGTGACCGAAGGCGATGCCTCATCACCATTCATTCTCAGGCAGGCTCTCAGGACAAACACACACTCGCACCGCTCCTTGGACAACTTTTTTCTGAAACAAAATAAAGCGTGATGATGGCAGAAGAAAGTAGGGGCAAGCGAAGGAAACAAGCCAACCCCAGGAGGAATCGAGGTAAGAAACGTGCAGCGCTGGAAAGTTTTAATAAGTCGGTAGCCTAAATGATGCAGACCGATGTTGCTGCAGTGGACAGGAGCCGAATTCGTCCGAACCGCGTTGATTTCTTCTGCAGTTTGTAGTAAAACTGTGTTTAAATGTATTGTATTATCGCTCTGTAGTTTGCTGCACATAGTTTGACAACATTCATGTTTCAGACTCACGTTTCTGCTCTCATGGCTCATGATTGCATTGCAGCGTAAATTGCAGGGATGAGCAGTCAACTTTCGTCAGGCTGGCACCCACTGGGATTATTTGATCTGTACACACATCTGGGCAAAACCCTAACATAAAAGCCCACTATCTTTGGCTGCTCGCTTTTTGTGAAATCTCATGACCCTTGTATGTTTTATACACCTGATTTTTTGTCTCCTGAATAAGTGGTAAATCATCTATTATTTAAAAGCATCCCCACTGTTTTAAACCTCCTCGGAAAGTTAGACTTAGTTTTTATTATTTTAACTAAGATTTGTTTTTGTCAAACAGAAAGGCTTCTTGTAATCTACTGTGATCATACTTTAGTGGGACTTTCTCTCACATGTAGACTTGATATTTGTTACTTTACATGCTATCAAACAGAAACTTCATAGCCTGTTTCCTAATTATTAATATTCTATTCTCTGTTTTGCAATATTGCTTAACCCTAGTTGGATGTCTTTTAGAGAGGAAAGTTAAAAATAGTTTAGGGGCGATTTTCAACTGATCGAAACCCAAGATTTTTCTTAAACTACAATGTTAAACATTTCACAAGTTATTGTCAAATCTTGACAGGCACACAATTAAATATATATATTTGAAAAAGAACGTAACTCAATTTGGTTATAGTTTTATTATAGGATTTAAAATGTGAGGCATGGATTTAAAGCAGCCTCATGGGCATGTGAAACACCATTCGTATTCTAACATACTTACTGTTAATCACCCAATCTAGAATTAGTGGTAAGCTTTAGGTGTCCCTTTTTCTTTTTTGTGAATTCATTTTTTTTACAACCGTGCTGACTGTTTGCTCAGTTAATAGACTTTGTTGAGACTTTGTGCATCAGGTATTGCACTCTATAAAACTGGCCTTTTTTTGGTTATGCAGTTCTGATTGTGACGATGTATGACTCTTTAGTTTAATTTACACGCATCCATATGTTTGTTAGTTACAGCTTGGGGTACTTGTGAGGTTGTGTGTGTGTGCTTGTTTACAGCTTTGAACTCTCAAACAGTAGTAAGGATACACACATGGGCATGAATAAACATATAAACATTTGTTCTTCTATCCTGCTGATGAGGACAGATCATTTATGTTAGAGTCAATCCTACTTCTCTCAACCAAAAACACATACAAATGATTCACTGACATTCACTCACTAATTTTAACTTGACACCAAGCAATTTAAATCTAAACTTGAACACTTAAACCTTATCAAACTTAAATTATTTGTATACTAAATGATTCTTATACTATAATGCGTGCATGCCAGTGTCTTGCTGCTGGCTGCTTTTAATGTAAAGTTGTTAGGTGCTGCAGGGAAAGCGATCCCAAACCAACCTAACCAATACCCCCAATGCAAACATAGCAGTAACCCTAGTAAAAAACACATAATTAAGTTAATCTCTTATATTTTTGTCATTTTCCTGTTGTTGAGAGGATAAATAGTTGTCAAAAACATCCAAAAGCAAACACATACAACAACATTGCCGGCTTTATTTTGTATTCCTTGAGGCTAATGAAAGACATTGCAAACCACGCAGGGTCCTTGTTTGTCTCTGATCTGACACACAACCGCCTTAAACCTATTGGCTGTAAGGAGTCTGTTTACTTATATAGTTAATTAGTTTGCTGTAAGTGTTTCCTCATTTTATTCAGAGAGGTGTGAAGCTCGGCAGAGTGTCACCAGGGTGAGATCCTCCCTGGCTGTCGAGCGATAACGGGTACTTGTGTGTGCATGCGTACACACACACACACACACACACACACACACACACACACACACACACACACTCTCACCTTTGACGACACCAGTTTGTCGACCGACTGCACTCCTTTTCACAAATAAGCACCATCTCACTGCCGTAAAAGCTATCAGCAAAAAAGCACACTTACTGACAAGGACCTGTCAATATCAGACCACCAGGGAAAGCAGTCCTTTTACTTTAATTTACAGAGAGATAAGCATCACCTCTGGTCAATTTCCAATACGTTTTACCAACAATGGTGGGAATGTGGTAAAGTGAAGGCATTTTAAAGTGAAAGAAAAGAGAAAGATGATACAGTGATATCTATCTGAGAATCTGAAAACTGGAAATGCCATGTTAAAGTATTTCATCTTTAATTTGTTATATCAGTCAGAGCATAAGTTCAAGCAGCTTTTTCCCCAATTGCATTAAGAATTGTTAGTGAATTTGCATGCATGCCTGAGCTGATGGCATGCTTATACATAGCATATGTGTGAAAATTCTGTGAGTGAGTGCTTATACATCTTTGTCTCATGTAGAAACGTGTGTATTAAAGCCCTGTGTTGGATTCGGAATGTGCCGGGCTGCGAGCTGGGAGTTAAAGGTCCTTGATAAAACCAAATGAATTTGGCAGGCCCGACTCATAAGACAGCGATTCAGGGATCTTTTCCAAACCAGAAGAAAGAGGAAAAAACACAGGCGGACTTTTCTTCTCCCTCCAAGGCGCCAATTGATTATGTCTCTGTCTCCCCCAATAAAACTGTCAATGTTCACCAATCTTGGGCAACGTGAGGAAATTACTGGCAGATTGAAAACAGTCCTAAGACAAAGCATAAGCATTTGAAATGACGACCCATATTTACTGGCTGTGAGTAAAAGAGTTTCAAAGAGTGTGAATTAATTAGCTGATAGCCAACAGTTCAATATCCCTCTTCAGGCCTGTATACACACTCAGTCACACCAATGATTTCTGGCACCATGGGGACATTTGCCTTACATCCTTAGTAAGCCACTTAATGGTCAAATTCATCTCATATTTTCTCATCATTAAAAGTGTTTTTTTCTCAATTGTAATTGCACTTTTTTGTATGTGAGGCAAACATCTTTATAATGATTGGACAATGATTCAAGATGATATCTATTTTCTCTCAACAAAAATATGCCATGATACATTTTCATACACTGAAATGTGTTTAAAAATGCATTGAAGTAAATGTGATGAAGCTACCTTTTAATCCATATCTGCAGTGCTCATTTTAAAAAGACTGTCACTTGTTTAAAGTGTCCTGGCTGTGTTATGTCCGGGCTTTCCCCTTCCCTCAAGCTCAGCAGGCTTCTTTGCCAGAATGACACACACAACTGATCAGTCTCATTCAAACATGCACTGTTGAATCAGATGTAGGATTGTGTTTCATGAACACACTCACAAACATATTTAGTCTTGTTGCCTTGCACTTTTTGCTTTGTTAATCCATGAAACAAACTCACTCTGTTGTTGAGTTGATGTGCCTTTTTAAGAGAGAGCTTTCTCTCTCCCTGTTTCCCTCACTCCCTCTTTCTCATTTTTCTTCTTTTTTCAAGTGCCAATTTATTTAAACTCCTTTCCCCTTTTCTTCTTTCTCCTTCATTGATTTCCAAACCCCAGTCTTTGTATGCAGCTGGGGCCCAGCTGTGTGTCTGTGACTGTGTATGTGTGTGCATACATGTGTGTGTGTGTGTGTTTGTGTGTGTTTTTTCTGGCACAGTGCTGCCACAGTGAGCATAGCACAATGTACACAAAGGACTCGGGCAGCAAAAAAGAGAGGGAAAAGGAGAAAGAGAGAGAATAGGGGGGAAACATTTTAGCGTTCAAGACCGACGTGCTTGTACAGTACAGAGTGGAGGGGCCGGGCCTTTTGGACTGGGCCTGCTTTAACGGCAGATGTATCGGCGCGCTGGGATGAGGGGTGGGGAGAGCGAGACAGCAATGAAGAGCGCAGGCACCACAGTTTATTACCAGGACTCTTCAAGGGGATCAGCCCAGGCGTCAGAACCAGCGGGTGGGAGGGACAGAGGAGGAAGAAAGGAGAGGAGGATGACAGAGGTGGGAACTGATGGGGTTGACAGGGCTGGAGACAGCGAAAACAGCTCCTCGGCGTGAGAAGACAGGAGATGGAGGGGCTGAGGGGTAAAGACAGAAGAGATGGGACGGGCGACAGAGTGTGGGATAATAAGTGTTTCCTCATTTGTTCCTCAACGTTCCCACAGCTCCAAGTGCCACAGATCTCTCCCATCCAAGCTCTATGTGTGTGATGCCAGATCTGCACAGCAGGAATGGGGAATCCCTTGATTTGAGTCCCTCTGGTATTTTGTCACATGTTTATTCGATTATTGCTCTTTCTGATGCTTTAGACCGAGCAGAACCAAGCCTTACTGTCAATCAAGAAGGAATTATTTGGAAAATTGTGCCATTACATTATTAATACACAACCAGGGGCTTTCCGCCACATTAGCTCCTGCACATGATTGTTTGGATTTGTATTATCTCCTTAATTTCAGATGTCACAGATACATTCTTGCTTCAGACAATCACAATCTGACCCGTAGATGAAAGCAAAATCCCAGGCATTCATCAGGATAAATAAAACTTCTTTAAACTGTAACACTACTCTAATAGCCACAGTGCTCAGTGTGTGTGTGTGTGTGTGTGTGTGTGTGTGTGTGTGTGTGTGTGTGTGTGTGTGTGTGTGTGTGTGTGTGTGTGTGTGTGTGTGTGTGTGTGTGTGTGTGTGTGTGTGTGTGTGTGTGTGTGTGTGTATAGGTGACCGGGTACACACTTTTCACACTTTTAACACCAACTGTACTGCGACTTCACACTCATAAAGACATTTCTATTTTCACATCAAAGGCGTTTTATCTGATAAGGCTTCCATACTGTATTTGAAGTTTCAAATTGATCCCTTCTTTTTCTTGACATATGCCATTGCAGCGCTATCATTACATTCTTTGTCGTTGCTTTGGCAAGACTCCTCGTC